CTTTTTACGGTTAAGAACTTATTACTGAAGGATATTAATGACCATTGACTGACTTTTTTTTGTTTTGTTTTTTTGTATTTGTTTTTGGTGGGGGTGTTACATGCATTTTGTTTTGTTTTGTTTTTTTGTATTTGTTTTTGGTGGGGGTGTTACATGCGAGTTTTTCCCCTATTTCTGACTTTTGGTATAGAGTAAATATCTATGGCCCATGTTCCTGTGAGTATAGTTAACCTGCTTGGGTTGGAGTTTTTCTTCTAGAACTTTCTGATTATGTAAATCTGGTATTGTCAGGCAATATCTTTTCTCCATCTATAGAGACTGATAGATGTTGCTGTATATAGTTGTCTGTGCTGGGATCCATGGTGTCTTCTTTGTAAAACATCTATCCTGTACCTCCTGGCTTTCAGGATTTCCATGGAGAAGTCAGTGTAATTCTGATAGGTCTGCCTTTATATTACATGGCCTTTTTCCTTCGCTGCTCTTTTTTGTGTTTTTATTCATTTAAATTCTTTAATTACTACTCATTTACATATCCATTGCCACATTCTCTCCCCTCCCATCCTCCCATGTTCCCCATCAACAACCCCCCAAGCCATCCTCCAACTACTCCCCAGGGATAGTCAGACCCTCCTCCAGGGACCTTAAAATCTGTCCTATCATTTGGGGGAAGGCCTATGCCCTCCTTGCAGGACCTGGGCTGCATTGGTATCCCTCCATAGGGAATGGGCTCCTAAAGTCCATTTGTGCTCTAGGGTTAAAGTCTGGCTCCACTCTTAGAGTTCCCATAGAATGTCTGGCCTCCTAGCTGGCACCCACTTTCAGAGATCTTGTTTTGGTCCAATTCTGTCTCCCCAGCTTTATGACCAGGGTCTCCGAGCTATCACTAGGGCAGGTCAACTGTTTCAGCGGATTTCTGCAGCACTGTCTTGGCTCCTTTGCTCATCCCTCCTCCCTCTTCCCAACTGGGTTCCAGGAGTGATGTTCACTGCTCAGTTGTGAGTGCCAGTTTCTGCTTTGATCAGCTACTGGATGAAGGCCGTAGGAATGGCAACAAAGGTAGACATCACCCTGTGCTAGACTCTCTCCATATCTGTACTGTCTCCCTCTATCAAGGCATCTCCTTTCTTGCCCTCCTCTATTCCTCCCCTGTCTCAGTTCTCTTGTTCTCCTCCCTCATCCCCTTCTTCTCTTCCTACCTCCTTCCCGTCCAACCCAACGGCAAGGGAGCTGCCGATCCCTGATGGCTAAAAATGTTGAGCACTTTCTCAAGGGTCTTTCAGTCATTTAGACTCCTCTGTTGGGAATTCTCTGTTGGGAATTTCCTATTTAGTTATGCACTCCACTTTTTAATTTACATTGTTGGTTGTTTAGGTGGATAGCTTCATGAGTTGTTGCATATTTTGGTGATCAGACCTCTGTCGGATGTGGGGTTGGTGAATATCCTTTCCCATTCGGTGTGCTGGCATTTTGTCTTGCTGACTGTGTCCTCTGCCTTACAGAAGCCTCTCAGTTTCAGGAGGTTCCATTTATTAATTGTCGATCTCAATGTTTGTGCTACTGCTGTTATGTTCAGAAGTGGACTCCTATACCAACTTGTTAAAGGGTACCACCTATCTTCTCTTGGAGGTTCACTGTGGCTGAATTTATGTTGAGGTCTTTGATTCATTTGGACTTAGGCTTTGTTCTTTGTGATAGATATGGATCTATCTGCAATCGTCTACATGTCTGAATCCAGTTATACCAACACCATTAGTTGAAGATGCTTTCCTTTTTCCATTGTATAACTTTAGCTTCTTCGTCAAAAATCAGGTGTTCGTAGGTGCATGGGTTAATATCAGGGTTTTCAATTCAATTCCATTGGTCAAACTGTCTATGAAAATGCCAGTACTAAGCTCTTATCAGGACTATGGCTCTATAATGGAGCTTGAAGTCGGGGATGGTGATGCCTCCAGAAGTTCCTTTATTTGTACAATGTTTTGGCTCTCCTGGGTTTTTTGTTTTCCTATATGAAGTTTAGTATTCTTTCAAGGTTTCTGAAGAATTGGGTGGGGATCTTTCTATAGATTGAATTGAATCTATAGATTGCTTTTGGCAAGATTGCCATTTTTACTATGTTGATCCTACCTATCCGAGAGCATGGGAGATCTTTCCATTTTCTGGGATCTTCTATAATTTGTTTCTTTAAAGACTTTCTTACTGTACATGTCTTTCACATTTTTGGTTAGTGTTACCCTAACTAACTTTATGTTAGTTGCTATTGTAAATGGTGATGTTTCTCTGACTTCTTTCTCATTGCATTTATAATCTATATATAGTACGGCTAATGATTTTTTTTAGTTGATCTTGTATCCTGCTACTTTGCTGAAGAGGTTTCTCAGCTGTACCTGTTCCCTGGTAGTTATTCAGGTCACTTATGTAAACTATCATATCATCTGCAATTAGCGAATGTTTGACTACTTCCTTTCTGATTTGTATCCCCTTCGTCTCCTTTTCTTGTCTTATTGCTGTAGCTAGAACTCCAAAAACACAAGTCAAAAAGATATGGAGAGATTGCGCAGCCTTGTCTTGTTCCGGATTTTACGCAACATAGTGTCTTATTAAGAAGTAATAAGAGACATGTGGAATGACATTTAAATCAATTTATGGATTTAAAGGTAAGATATAAACAACACAATATTTTAATTCAACACACAAATTCAAGAAGCTATGCTTTACAGCTCAGGGTGTGCTTTACGGACAAGTGCACAGCAATGACACGCAGAGCATAGCAACCACGCTGGGTAATGAGTCTGGGGTCTCCTCTGACCTCCTGCCTGGCTCGCCAAATAAAAGACCCCCGACCCCAAAGGGGCACAGGTTCCCCAGGAGCCTCCGAGACTCAGAAACCAGACCAAGAGCTGCAAAAGCAAGAGAGTTTATTGAACGAATGCACATTTGTGTGTCAGCAATACCAGGAAAGCTGCACACCTAGCAAGGGTTATAGACCCTTTTTATGGGAAAACCCGAAAATCGACATACACGCATGGGGTACAAAGTGATTTATAAAGTGATTGGCGCACACCTTTAATCCCAGCACTCGGGAGGCAGAGGCAGGCAGATCGTTGTGAGTTTGAGGCCAGCCTGGTCTCCAGAGAGAGTGCCAGGATAGGCTCCAAAGCTACACAGAGAAACCCTGTCTTGAAAAACCAAACACAAAAGAATTACTATGATTTGAATATACTTTATAATTTTCTTCTGGAAAACCCTGGTTCTCCAAAGAGAGAAGAGAGTTATTATGTACTCCAGTAGCAGCCTGCTTCCCTGCCGGGATGTTGTGAAGTTGCCAAAAGCAGACTGTTTTGACTATCGCAAACTGACTCTACTTGACCAGCAATGCTTCATCCAAGCTGCTGACCTCTTAATGGCTGAATTCAAGATGCTCAGCAGCCAAGACATCACATGGGCCCTTCATGAGCTCAAAGGACACTATGCAATCACGTGAAAGACCTTTTCTGATGCTTTTTAAAAATGGCATGAGCAATCCCCTGAGGCTAGTGGAGAGAATGAAAAGAGGAAAGAAATGAATCCGTATTCTTTCCTAGCTTTCTATTTTTATGTTACCTTGCTCAGATTTGAAAAGAGGATGTTCCTTTTGGAAAACAAGCATCAACACTGTAGATCCTATGACCAGAAAGACCTCCATCCAGCTGTTCAGCAAGAACAAGAATTCTATGAACAGAAGATGAAAGAGATGGCAGAGCGTGAAGACTTTTTGCTTGCCCTGCAGATGAACAGAGAAGAATATCAAAAGGGTGGACACCTGATTGAGTGTGGATGCTGCTATGGGGAATTTCCATTTGATGAGCTGACACAGTGTTCTGATGCTCACTTGTTCTACAAAGAATGTCTCATCAGATATGCCCAAGCGACAGTGTTCGGGTCAGGAAAGTCAGAACTCTAGCTCTGCCACGCCCCCTTTTAATCCGTTTCACTCTGGGTAGCCCGGGAAGGGAGACCTAAGAAGCCAGAAAGGGGGAAAGAACAGAACAGAGAAGCAAACCTACGGCCATTGCCTTGTCAGTATTGTGGCTTGGAAAGTAGGATTTGCAGGGGAAAGGAGGGTATTCTTAGGTAGCCCAGGCTAGCCTCAAACTTGCAATGTAACCTAGGATGTAATTCCCCTGCCTCTACACGTCTGTGTTGAGATCACAAGCATGTGCCCCCATTCCTGGCTTCTGAAATAGAATATTGGACATACTCTACGGACGTCTAAAAGACCTCTACCTAGGTAGGTCCATGAATTGGACTTCCAGCCTCTTGATGAGATTCAACTTCTACAGACATCTGGAAGATCCCCAGATCTTCCAGCCCTGGAGCCTCCTCAATCTGACCCTGGGGACCAGTTCTAGACTGGGTTCTAGAACACTCTATGCATCTGCCAAGCCCTCCCCAATATTCACGCCAAACTTCTTTCGCATTTTGTTTTTGTACAAGACAGCCTCCATTCAGTGGCACGTGCCTGTAATATGCACGGATATGGATACGTAAGTCATATATACACTTAAGTCCCCAAACCTACCGTGTAAACCTGACATTTATTAACCTTTAACTGTACAAAAGGTCCAAGTGAATTTTGAGGTTTCACTCTGTAGCCCAGGCTGGCTAAATTCCCAGCAATCCCCCTGCCTCAGTTTCTTCCATTCTAGGATTACAAACATTGAGTCAGCACCTGACTTAGTTATGGCACGGACAGTTCTGACTCACATTCTCCAAGGTAAACCACAAGACAGATTTCCTGTCTCTCGGGAGCAGGTTCTCGGCACCTTCACTGATGTCTGGGGAAAAGCAGCAGGTGCAGGTATCACAATTATGACAGCTACTGATTGCTTGCTGCTGGGCTATCTCAGAAGAGGAAGGCGCCTCTTTCATTGATCAGGGGGAGGCTGTGTGGGAGCTTAGGCTCTCTGAATGAGCTGAGGCTAGACTAAACCTGTAGCAGGATTGCTGCTTCCTGTCCCTTACTGGGGGCTACTCTCTAGAATCTAAGCAGGAGTAGGCAAAGAGGGTGCTTCAGCTGGGAAGGGGGAACGGGAAGCCTCTTCTACAAGATCTGAAACTTCCAGGCACTCTGATCTTTGTAGTCCAGAGGGTCCATGGGATTGTAGGTGAATTTCCAGGTGCCTGTGGGGTCCTTGAATTCCAGGCTGTCCACGGGGCTGTAAGTACTGTAGCTCTGACCAGACAAGGAGGTAGGGGATTGGGCCAGGTATGGCCCCACGGAGGGGCCTGAGAGGGGGCTGAGAGCTGGACCTCCCAGCTGGGGCACCATGGGAGACAGGTAAGGATCCAACCCACTGAAATAGGAACTTGGAGACGCATAAGCTGAGGGAGAAGAGCAAAAAGCAGAGGCAGGGGCATAGGTCATGGCATAGGGGGCTGAGGTGAGAGAGGGTCCTGAGGCCACTAGCCCAGCTCACTGGGCCTCAGACAAAGGAGACTCCGAGGCCGGACTCCAAATGGACGCAGTGGCCACTGCTGTGGTAGGTGAGCCTGAGGTGCCAGCCAGAGATGGGCTGTAAGAATCTGAGATGCCCAAAGATTCTGTACAAACATCTGTGCAGGGCCGTGGGGATGTGCCTGCCTTCCTCTTCGCAGGACGAGCCTTGGCCTGTCCCCCCGTGGGCTGCTGCTGCTGTTTCTGCTGCTGCCGCTGTTGTCTGCATTTTGCCCTGCGATTCTTGAACCAGACCTGAAGGGGGAAAGGGAAGAGGAGGGTGAATAAAACTTGGAAAGACCTAAGAGCCCTCGGGTGCCAAGGGAAGACAAGGCTGATGGAAAGAGCCACCCTTGGCCACTCTGTATCCAACAACGGGGCAGCTCTGTCCATGATCTGTGTGCCAGTCTGTACTGGGTGGTTTTGTGTGCCCCCTTGACACAAGCTAGAGAAGAAGGAGCCTCGGTTGAGGAAATGCCTCCTTGAGATCCAGCTGGAAGGCATTTTCTCTTTTAGAGACCAAGGAGGGAGGGTCCAGACCATGGTGGGTGGTGCCATCCCTGGGCTGCTGGTCCTGGGTTCTAAGAAGGTGGCTGAGCAAGTCATGGAAGCAAGCCAGTAAGCAGCTCCCCTCCTTGGCCTCTGCATCAGCTCCTGCTTCCAGGATCCTGTCCTGTTTGAGTTCCTGTCCTGACTTCCTTCAGTGATGAACAGCAATGCTGAAGTATAAGCCCAATAAACCCTTTCCTCCCCAACTTGCATTTTGGCCATGGTGTTTCGTCCCAGCAATAGAAACCCTAAGTAAGACACCATCCAAAGAGCCCGGATAGCTCAGTCGGTAGAGCATCAGACTTTTAATCTGAGGGTTCAAGTCCCTGTTCGGGCAGAAAGTTGTTTGGGGCTGGAGAGATGGCTCAGGGGTTAAGAGCACTGACTGTTCTTCCAGAGGTTCTGAGTTTAATTCCCAGCAACCCCATGGTGGCTCACAACCATCTGTAATGAGATCTGGTGCCCTCTTCTGGCACGCACTGTATACATGATAAATAAATCTTTAAAAAAAAAAGACACCATGCATGTCAGCAACCTACATGCACTGATCATACATATTTCATACATGCAGGCAATCATACATGCATATACCAGTCTACATGCATTATCTACCAGCCTGATTGATCACACATCCGTGAATACAATCTTGCATTATACTCACATATATGCATGCAGTCATACACGTATACACATACATACCTACGTGCACTCAGCCACCTACCTGAGCACATGAATATCTATGTAATCATGTATTATCCTCACCTATACACAAGCATGCACATACATGTTAACACGTTATGTTAACATGCTCCTGCTCATGAATATATCCATGCAATCATACAGCATTATATTCACATATCATACATACAATATATCATACGTGGATGTACTCATTAGCCATCCCATACATGCATGCAATTTTACACATAGATACAATAAAGCCAGGGCTAGGTAGGAATGTAACACAATGGTAGAACGTTTGCCTGGCCTACACAAAGCTCTGGCTTCATTCAGTCTCCCACACTGCAGAACACACACACATTCACACTTCTCTCACCCACACCTGCTCTATCGCCTCCTCTACTACTTAAAGGAGACATCAGAGGGGTTAATATTCTCCAACTGTGAGGAATATGAGCCTCACTGCAAATGAGTAAGCCATACAAAATTGCAGCGGAGGCTCACTATGTAAGCCCAGACCAGCCTCAAACCCAAGGCACTCTTCCTGCCTCTGCCTCCTCCATGCTGAGATTACGGGAGTGAGCCACCGAGCTTTGTGTCGTATTCTAGAAATATATATGGAAGATGCTGTTAAGTCAGGAGGCAGTTAGCACTGGAGTTCCGGGTTGGAACTAAAAGCACTATGACCCCCTATGTGGGTCTCCTTGGCTTATAAATTGACTTGAGCGATCGACTGATGGGTGAAAATAAGCATGATGATGGGACGAGTCCCAGGAAGCTGGGCTTAATGAGACAGGCCTGTTGTAATCCTGCTCTTCAGGGGGCTGACAAGAGAAGAGCCAAAGCTAAAGGGGGGGGTGGGGCTGTAGAGTGAGTTCAAGGTCAGCCTGGGTAACTTAGTGAGAGCGTCTCACAAAGCCAATGCTTCAGTGGATGGCCCCACGGGCAGGATGAATCCATCCAGTGGGTTATAAAAGAGGGTGATGAAGAGGAGGAGAAAAATTAAAACGACATGATTGAAATTGAGCAGGGAATGGAGGTGGGGTCCTGGAGGAGTTGGAGGAGGTAGAAGGGGTGGATATGATCGCAATATATTGTATCCATGATCGCAATATATTGTATCCATGTGTGAAACTACCAAATGATGTCAGGCAGTGGTGGTGCACACCTTTTATCTCAGCACTTGGGAGACAGAGGCAGGCAAATCTCTGCGAGTTGGAAGTCAGCCTGGTGTACAAAGCTAGTTCCAAGACAGCTAGGGCTATTCCACAGAGAAACCCTGTCTCAAAGAACCAAAAAATATTACCAAATAATAAAATATTATTACTTACTTAATGTTTTGGAATTATAATTACATCATTTCCATATCCTCCTTCCAAACCAAAGAATAATTAAAACATAATAATAAGATAACAAAACGGGCAAGAAAAATGGCTCAGTGGCTAAGAGCACATATTGCTTTTGCAGAGGACCTGGCTTCAGTTCCCAGCACCCACATTGCAGCTCTCAACAATCTATATGATTCCAGTTCAAAGAGGTCCAACACCTCTGGCCTCCGTGGGTACTTAATGTACACATACATTCAGGCAAGACTCTCATACACATAATTGTTTTTTTTAAATCTTTAAAAAAGACTTACTTGGCATCTTTTAGGAATCAGAAGCCTGTGGATCCCCAGTGAGTTCAAAGCCAGCCTGGTCTACATAGTAATATCTTGCCTCAAAATAATTTTAGCCAGGAGGTGGTAGGGCACGCCTTTAATCCCTGGCACTCAGGAGACACCAAGACTGGCAGATCTCTGTGAGTTCAAGGTCAGCCTGGGTCTAGAAAGCAAGTTCCAAGACAGCCAG